TTATATCCCTGACAATCATGAATATTCGAAAATGAACAACAAGAATTATCATCATCATCATCATCATTCTCATCATCACTATCGCTCACAAAACAAAAAATGCGTGAAAATTAATAAAGATGATTTATCATTATCATCATAACAAAATTCCCTCGGCGCACATGGGAGCTTATCACGTAAAAAAATAAAATAAAAGGCAAGGAATCAAGTTAATATAAATTTACCTTCTCTTAATATACAAAAGTGTAATATTAATGAATAATGTATAAAAAAATAATATTATCAGGATATTGGCATTATTTTTTTCATATGCGTTGTAGATAGAGATGAAAAACACGAACACACGACAAAAACAATTACAACTTACAAATGTTTGTGTTTTGTTTTGTTTTTGTTTTATAGTTACGAGGACAAAAAAAATCACAAAAAAGTATTATTAAATTCTTCTTGAGACACCAGTTTACAGGGTGTCTCAAAAAATGCATCCATACTGCCGCAAACATCAACAAGTGGGGATAATGTTGCTGTAATAATATAAACCTTCACGCGACCTTCAAAAATATATACAAAAATGTGTATACATATTTTTATAAACAAATGCAGAAGTTTTTTATACAAATTATCAGGAATTATATACATGCGAAAACCACATACAGCACGAGGCTAATAATAAACGTTGATAAACAACATACGAAAAAAATATTTAAAAAAACACGTTTATTCCATAATTCTTTGAAAATAAAATAAATTAAAATATAAAGTAAAAGAGCGAACATAAACCGGAGCGAAAAGAAGGAAATGAAGAAAAAAAGTGAAATATTAAAACCACATTAAAAGTCATATAGAGAAACATGGTGAAAATAAACAAACGAACATACTATTATTATTATTAAAATTACCAATAATGTTACAAAATTTATCATGCACTCATTAATTTGTCTATTATTATTATTATGATTATTATCCATTACTTTTGCTCTTTTGATTCCTATTATTTAGTGTATCTGCCTTTATATATATATATATATATATATATATATATATATATATATATATATATACTATATATATATATATATATATATATATATATATATATATATATTGTATATATATATATATATATATATATATATATATATATATATATATATATATATATATATATATATATATTTATACTCGTATTACCACCATGTAACTTTTATACATTTGGCTAAATCATTCAATATTCTCTTATCCTGATTTTTTATCAATCTAAGTATGTATGTATATATATATATATATATATATATATATATATATATATATATATATATATATATATATATATATATATATATATATATATATATATATATAGTTCAAATATAATCATTAGTGAAAGCGCTTTCCTGTAATTCACATCTTCAGGGGTGAGTACAGTCTGTACTCACCCCTGAAGATGTGAATTACAGGAAAGCGCTTGGGAACTTCGTGTTTTCTTCTTTCCTTGTGGTTATCAGCATATATCTAGATCACGCGCACCTACAGTGATTTACTTGTGTATATATATATATATATATATATATATATATATATATATATATATATATATATATATATATATATATATATATATATATATATATATATATATATATATATATATATATATATATATATATATATATATATATATATATATATATATATATACTGCATAGCTTCCGACTTTTGCCACCAGTGCACGAGGCAGCGAGAGAAAGAGAGTACTATTATCCACGTTGTCATGCACATAATGGACAATACAGTAACAATACACATAAAAGCGTCAACAAGATGGATGAGTCACACTAGGGCCATCAAATTGTGGGAATCTGGGATTTTTTGGTGTGTGCATGTATACATCTATCTCTTTTTAACTAACTTTATTTTATCTATCTATCTACCTATCTAACTAACGTGTATTCCTCTCTCTCTCTCTCTATATATATATAAACATATATATCTATATATATATATATATATATATATATATATATATATATATATATATATCTATATCTCGTATCTTCTTCTACAAACTAATGGTCGGCCTGTATACTCAGGCCACTGTCAAATGCTGGGATCATTGTAAATCTGGTGAGTAAATTTGATTTCTGCATCTCTCTCTCTCTCTCTCTCTCTCTGTTTACCTGTCTCTGTTTTTCTCCACCCTCAATATATATATGCCTGCGTCTGTCTGTTTGTCTATGTCGGCACTATACGATATTATCTATTTATATTTATATTTATTATCCTACAGTTCAGTATAATCCTCCACATATTATCGTAAGTACAACAAAGAAATTTACTCAGAAACAAGAGAGCAAGTGGAAATGAAGACACAAGTACAGTACACGTAGAGGTAAAACCAATGGGACCGATGGGTTAGCAGATGAACACTACGGTTGGTGTCTGATCATGAGAGGCATTTCTTAATAGCACTTATTTTTTTTTTATAAAGAAATTACATGGGATGACATATAACATCTTTTCGAAAAACAAAGGCAATAGAATTTACTACGTTGTTTTATTCACATTAGATATTATTTCCACTTCAAGGGATGAGTTGCCATATAAGAGTATAATGTATTATTAGAAGCTTGATTGGAAATACAATGTTGTCACAAGAACAACAAAAGGGGCCAGGTCGAGCGGCCTTTGACGGAGGAGTTGGTGGGCGTCTACGCCTAGGAGGCTAAATATTGTAGACATAAAAGCAGGGTGCACCTACTGTACACTACATACAGGGTGATGGTAATACAATGTCACTTCGAGTATTATTTACGTAACTAACCATGAAACACACGAATCTGAAAATACAAGCCTTATATGCATTTCCCAATTATCATATGACGCACAACCTTCTTGTCCGTTCCCTAAATTGTTAATTTCAGTTCATTATTTTCATATAATGTCATGCTACCGTAATCTCACTGAATCTGATATCTTCATAATTCGCCAATATTACAACATTAGTTTATATTTTAAGACATTCTGGCAGTAAGAATGACATTACTATGCTGATATAGAGTTAAGCAGGCACTGAAGTTTGTGTTTCTAACAATAATAATTAACTTGACATGTTCCGATGATACGCTTTCAGTTGTATATCCGATGTGTTTATCATGTTTATTCTTTTATTCACAGTGAACACATTCTGCTAAAAAACATAATGGGATATATCATTATAATAGCAAACAGCCGGAATAGAGTAACTGGCCCTCCACTGATGGTTGATGCCATATCACGCATGGCAAGCAAGACCCGAGAGCATTGGTGAGAACTCTTTGGCCGTTGTATTATATTTTATCACACTGAAAAGGTGAAGATAGTTTTTTGTTGACTAATAAATAAATATATATATATATATATATATATATATATATATATATATATATATATATATATATATATATATATATATATCAAGTATAGGTATACGTAGATATAAATACAAGCAAAAATACATCTACAAGAACAGGTACATATACAGGAACAATAAAGATTTAAAATACAGTGACAATTAGTTAGAAATACAGGTAAAGGTACAAATAGATAATTATGCAAGTACAGGTACAGTACATACAGGAACAGGCACAAGTCCAAATACAAAAGCAAATATGAATACATGAAAAGATAGAGATACAGAAAAAATACATGAATAGGCATAGATAAGGAAAATACAAGAATACGTTGAGAAAAAACGCACAAGAATATTGGGGTCACAAATACAGGAACAGTTGAAGACACACGTACAGTCAATTCAGCAGTTCAGCGTAATAACAGAACAGAAACATCATCTTCAAGAACAATGTACATCCATTACGTCACTTCATGGGAAGGTGACTGAAGAGCTTATACACTTCACTGATATTGATGTCAAGACGATTTACTGAGATTTAACAGCCTGCGAGGTGTATATTAACTGCGTTGTCCAGCTTACACACACACACATGCACACTACAAACTTTTATTTATATAATTTAATTTGTGTAATAGATTAACTACATTTGATTTCGTTCAGTTTGTAATAAGAAAAAAAAACACAATTATAATAGGAGTCATTAGACCAGTGTTCCCCAACCCTGTGGCCCGGGTCACAGTACTGTGACCCAAACCTTCTACTAGTGTAACCCGACAGACTACTGTGACCAGGTGCTGTGACCCAGGAGCAGCTGTGACCGACATTGTGACCCACAAAAATCAGTGAACAAGTCAATCTTGCTATATCCTATATATCACAAACAGGGCTCAGCTGATACGCTTCCTTCGCCATGTTGATTGTGAGCACTTGCGAATGACAGAAGAATTTATTTTCTGTGAAGATGTTGGCGTAGAAACTACAAGTGAAGCGTTGCAAAAAAAGTTCTGGACTGTCTCACCCATAAAGGGATTGCAATTGAAAAGTGTTCACACATCACAACCGATGGCACAGCGAGTATGGTTGGGATAAGAAATGGTGCAATGGCAAGATTGAAAGATTATGCACCGAAATGTAGAAGTTCTCACTGCACCTTGCATCGCCAGAATTTGGCATCAAAGCATCTACCAAGTGAGTCCGATGTGGATGCAGCAATGAAAAAGTGCGTCATTATCATCAATGATATCAAGAGCAAAGCTAAAAAATCTCGCGTGTTCCATGACTTCTGCGATTCGATAGGGGAGACTGAGAAGACCCTGCTGCTTCACAGCGAAGCGCGATGGCTATCAAGAGGAGTTGCATTGAAGAGATTCTTTCAACTAAGGAAGGCAGTTCATGGCTTCTTGCAAGAATGTGGTTCACCGCATGCATTCTGTTTCATGCAAGAGGAGTGGGGTGCTAAGCTTTCTTACTTGTGTGATATATTCACCAAGCTCAATGTGTTGAACCTCTCCCTTCAAGGGCCAGGTCAAGATGTGTTCACTTCCAATGACAAAATTGAAAATGTCAGGGTGGAAGAAAATAGTTGAGACAAGGGACTTTTCAGACTTCGATGAGCTTGGGCAAGTGTTTGCAGCCCAAGGATGAAGTCATTGACGACAAAATGACGACAGTTGTGTCCCAACATCTCACCGTTCCCCAGCATTATTTTAACCACTATTTTCCTCCTGCAAATGAGGAAGAAAAGAAGAAGAATAGTTGGATAAGAAACCCGTTCCTTATCTCAAACTTGAACGACAGCGATCTGCCCACTCAAGAAAAAGACACACTGATCGAACTCTACTGTGACTCAGAAATGAAGGACTTTTGCAACAGCCGCAACCGCACCGACTTTTGGGTAGCAGTGAGCCAGAAAGAAGCATATGAGATGAATGCTGGTAAAGCACTCCAATTTCTGGTGGCATTCCACAGCACTTACTCCTCTGAGAGAGGGTTCTCAGATCTGCTCACCAACAAGAGGAAAAAAAGGCAGAGGCTTGGAGAGACGATGTTGTCTGCGTGCATGACAGTGGCAGCGACAAGAAATATTGCCCCACGATTCAACTTGCTTGCTGCAACTATCCAGCAACAAAAATCACACTGAAAGTATCCAATACCATATGTAGTTTGTGATGAGGCGTGGCTGCACAAATTAATTGTATGTGTAAGTGTTTATTATTTTGTACTTTGCACTGTAGGTGTAAATGTAAAGATCAATTTTCTGGATAAATGCAACTTATTGTAAGATATTTGTAGTGTACTTATACAGAAGTATGATTTTCCTATTAAATGTATCCTTTTTATGATGACAACTTTACATGTGACCAAAGGACTTAGAGGTGCAGAGAACTGTGACCCAGTGTTGAAAAAGGTCGGAAAACACTGCGTTAGACCACGGCGACTGAGGGCCTCAAGGGATGGGTCATATTGTAGGGCAAACTCAATCATTTTCTTTCTTTTACTTCCCACAGATGCTACTCGCTATATTCCTCCAGCTGCAGAAAATGCTTACATACAGGGTGTGGCATTAGTAGCTTGACCAAGGACACTACACACACAATGGAAATGGGGGTTAACATTACACAGAATAAAAATTTAAAAAATCTGAAGAACTTAACCCCTCTTGAGTAAGATGAACTAACCACTGAGTACGATGAATTAGCCACTGAATACGATGAACTACCTATTGAATATAATGATTTAACGCCTTGAATCCGATGATTTAACGCCTTGAGTACGATAACTTACCCCCTTGAGTACGATGAACCAGATATCGAATACGATGATTTAACCTCTTGAGTACGAGGGAATATGCCACCAAGTTCAAAGAGTTGCATAAAAATGAAAATTAAAAAATAAATAAAAACTTCTTATTGGCAAATCATTAGTCTTCTTAGCCCAGGAATTTTGTATATTATTCAACACATTCGTAAACTTTTATGAGAAACTGACGGAAATGGATAGAAGGATAGAAAGATACATGAAAAGGAAGAGGTAGACAGACAAGTGCTTAATTTGGAAATAACGTTAAGATTAAATGAGACAGCGAAGAGGGAGAGAGACACGAAAGAAATAAAAGAACTGAAAAAAAAACACATATGAAGGATAGAAAACTAGTGTATTATTAACTTCATTATGTGCTTAAAGACCTTCGTTGTTGAAGTGCAGTAACAACATTATAACAACAAGACAATCATAAGTTAATAAGTATAATCAATAAAATGTAACAAGTTATGAATATATAATAAATAATACAGTGTATCAAATTATAAACATAGAATGAATAAAACCTCTCAAGTGAGTGTCTGGACTTAGGACTTTTCTCATCTCTCAAAGTTTTCAAGAATCTCCCCAAGAAAGAAAGAAAAAACTTAATGAAATTTCAGTTTTAAAAGTTTTAGCTGTAAACTTCTTGATCTCGATTTCAATAACGGGGTAACTTTTTTTTTTATCTAGTGTATCAAGTTACTGTATTGTAAAGTGTATTCAGGTGTCTCGTTGTATTACCTATTGTATCATACATGTTCCAAGAGATGACGAAGAAAAGATGAAAATAAACGTGAAAATGAAAGGAAATGAAAAAGGATAACAAATATAGAAAAAAAAATAATAAAAGAATAACAAACAACAAAGAAAAAAGATGGAAAGGTGATTTGAGAAAGAAAGGAAGAAGAAGGAAGAAAGAAAACGAATAATATGAGAAGAAACAAACGGGGAAAGAATGAAAAAATAAAAGGTTAAGATAAAGACAGAAATAAATTGCTGAAGGAAGAAATGAAAGAAACAAGAAACAGTACAGAAGAAGAGGAAGTATAGGAATTAGAAAAAGACGTAAAAAATAAAGAAATAGGAGATTAAGAACAGCGGTGGATGCTGGTAAGCGGCGAAAGGAGGGTTGTAACAATATATTAACGTACTCTTTCTGCTGTATATATCATCCAGGGCATAAACGATATTAAATACTTACAGTACTTATTTTATCTTGCATTTGGAAGTACGGTAAATAGGATGTAAAAATTGTACAAAAAACTGATGATATAATGTGGAGATTGAAAAAGTTTGTGGGCAGGTAGGGAGAGGATAGACGGACTGCCTCTCGGAGAAAATATAATTGGTAAGATGTCTGTGCACCAGTATGCGTAAATAAACTGATAGCATGGCGTTCGAGGTATTTTTTGTTTCTAAATTTTTGGAAATATCATATTTTTAACAGCCGTAAGAGTAGATGATGACAAACCTTGGAGGAATAATGTGTGTATATTTCCTATTGTTCCTGGCCACTCAGCATTAAGCGTTAAAAAAGCTTGAAAGAATGAAAAAGAAAAGGCACTCATGTTATCAAGTACTCCAGACAACAATGAACCGTCTTGAATCATATGCCTGGCCAAGTTAATTCTAAGACTGAGTATTAATATAATTTAAACTCATTCATATAATTTACATCATATACGTAAGTAGGTAAAGTATGGTGACTGATGCTAAAACCCTGGAGTGTGCCATCACCTCGCCAGGAGTGACGTCACCAACACTAGTCGCTGGAGAAGTGAAGACAAAAGGTGAAACAGAAAACGTGGACAAGTTTATCTTAATCACAGACTTGGAAAACCCTTTTATTCACACTACAGTAAATATCAACATATTATATTTATCAAAAATCAAATTTTCTTTTCTTTTTACTGTGATTTATATTGACTCAAATCCCTTAAATTGGTTGAATCATGAAAACGTAAACGCATAAATAAATCGATAAATGAGTGTAAATGAGAAACAAGAGAGAAACATAGAAGAGAATAATAAACAATAATAATAAAATTAAAAAGACGAACCAGGAAATATATTCAGCTGAGACCAGGAGCTGTTCCCCGACAATTGTGTTAATTAACAAGAGGAGACAAACAAGGAAATTATTACAGGAGAGAGAGAGAGAGAGAGAGACTTACCCAGAACTAATTTGCCTAATTCAGTTTAATAATTTTGTCCTCACAGTGTAAGTGTGACAGGAGGATAAGTCAGCTGCTTCATATTAAACAAAAGCTAAAATCCTTAACAGACAGACAGACAGACACAGACAGACAGACAGATAGATAGATAGACAGATAGATAGATAGATAGATAGATAAAGACAGAGAGACAGACAGACAGATAGATAGATACCTATAGAAAGATAGATAGATAGATAGATAGATAGATAGATAGATAGATAGTCACACAGTGATGAAACAAGTATACAGATCATACAGGTAATATTTTTCCTTTGGTCCAATAAATTATCATTCAGTGTTAATTATCGCAGTTCAACATCAACAAAATGATATGTATGTATGTATGTATGTATGTATGTATGTATGTATGTTAAATACGAATATACCAATACCTTACATACATATTCATACATTAAAATTATATAGAATACAAATTTATTCGCACGATGTTTATTAAGACTTACAAACAAACATTAAAACAAAATCATTCTTGCTTTGTTCATTGAGAAAGATTTAAAGGAATAAACATGTAGTATAAATTCATTCATACGAAGTTTATTACCTATGAAAAATAAAAACAAACTCTCCTTTACCTAATGTTTATTAAATCGAGTAAAAAAAATAATATACATTTTTTCACGTAATTTTCACACCCAAAAATTATTCCCTTCTACCTGTAGTCATAACAAGAAACACCAACAGCAGGTATATAAAAGTTTTCACCATAAAAATATAAAAGGCAACAATATTTCTTCCCTCAAAAAACTGGTTCATATAACACCAGTTGTAGTTTGTACTGTATATATGAACCAGGCCCATGTGTAATGTTTAATGTGAGGAGGATAAGTTAAATGAGGCTGTAAACATCTCAACATTATTTCATTTACAACTGGTCTAATTATATAATGCTTGTGTTTTTATTTAATTGTTCTGCGGCTGTCAGGTGTCGGAGTACGTGATTTGTATTTACTCTAATATATTTTCAACTATTTACGCTTGTTCATTAAGTTTTCGAGAGAGAGAGAAAGTAGAGACAGGTGAAGATATTGGCATAGAGATAAATATGTGAAAGTGAATTCTCTTGGCAAGACTATCTGTTGGGAGCTGTGTGGATACAACATACTGTATCACTTGGCCTTTTTACGCTTCACATAGAGGCAATGTGGCCGCCACTGCACTCGGCTGTCTTCACTTCCCAAACTTTAAAGTTAGGTACCCATTCATACTGGGTGAACAGGAGGGGAAATGTGCTCCTAACTCTAACCAACTACAGTCAGGACATGCAGCAAGTACTCTATCCACTCAACTACCGCACCCCTACATATAAACAGACACACATACAGACGGAAATTCACTCAACCAAGACCCTCTACCCACCCTCATCCACCATATCTCACACAGCCAGTTGATATCTCACATCCATACAAAAATCAGCGAAGTCCCCCTTTGTTGCTGTGTATGTGTACGACACTCTTCCCCACACGGCCGGAAACGGCAGCAGGAGATATGTTGTCTGGCAGCGGGGCGTGTGTGAGCCGCTGCCAGGTGTCCGACAATAAAACGTAAGTCAGTGGACAGTTCACTGGCCAATAGGCATGATTCTTTGTGCGTGGACAAAAATTCTACTGAATGGTTTCTTCCTTGACAAAATCTCATGGAACAGTTCCCACTGGACAAAAAAAAAAAAAAAATACCGCAACACAAATTTTCAGAGAATAAAACTCTAGTGGAGAAAATCCCGCCACCAGAATAGTAAACTGAACACAATCCCACCAGATTAAGGTTATTTAGGTCATAATATTCTGATAATACGGGTGTGGAAGCAGAGTCGATACAGCACTCGCCTCCTGGTTCGATCCCAGAGCATTCCCACCCAGTCAGCTGGGCCAGATAAAGGTAGATTACGTTAGGTCACTTTGCTAGGTTAGGTTAGCTAAATCTTGATATGGTCAGATTAAGTAAAATAAATTGAGTCTTAGTTCCTGTGAATTTAGTTAAGTTTGCTAAGATGAGTTTACATATAAGTTAGGTTAAGCGAGTTCAACTCGTCTAAGCTCGGTTGAGTTAATTTAGTACCTAGTTTGGTTAAGGTATTACAGGTAGTTATTTTGTATTGGGTAAT